AACGTGTCTCGCATGTGTTTCATATCCGCCTTTTATTTGGCTTTCAGACACAAACAATGCCTTGAGGTTTAAGATATGATAGGATTGTTTAGGTTTTATAAAAAGATATAAGTAGAGACACTACATACTGATATACACCTGAACATCAGCAGGAGAGGACTCTTTAAAGTAGAGACACTACATACTGATATACACCTGAACATCAGCAGGAGAGGACTCTTTAAAGTAGAGACACTACATACTGATATACACCTGAACATCAGCAGGAGAGGACTCTTTAAAGTAGAGACACTACATACTGATATACACCTGAACATCAGCAGGAGAGGACTCTTTAAAGTAGAGACACTACATACTGATATACACCTGAACATCAGCAGGAGAGGACTCTTTAAAGTAGAGACACTACATACTGATATACACCTGAAAATGAGCAGATGTCCTCTTTAAGTTGTTTTTGCTGGGTTACATTCATTTGTACATTTACCTCCAGAACACACGATTCCTTTCATTGTCCCTTCCATCCTTTGTGTGCTTTTTCATTTGTATTTACTGTATATGTTAGACTAACCTTCACCTCTCACATATCCACATGATATTATCTGTTTCTCCACCATAACATTATCATATAAGGTGTGTGTTGCATCAGGTTAAAGGGCTTCATGACGCCCTGAATGTTCACAGATACCATAGTTAGCTCTGTAATGTGTTGTGCCTTGCTGCGTAGCATAATGTCTGTAAATGGGTGAGATAGCAGGGATGACACCCACTCTGCTGGGGTCCAGGAAAGGCTGGTTAGGTAACATGGGAAACGGTAACCCCCTGCTGTGGTAAACACACACACACACACACACACACACACACACACACACACACACACACATGTTTAACGACGGTAGAAAATGTCAATCCTGGCGTGAGATTTTACAGGAAACTCATTAAGCTTCTCTCAGTCAAAGTGTCACAGTGTTGTGATAATATCATGATATACAAACATCGATGGTATCTA